GAGAAGGAGAGAACATGAGAAGGGCATGCTCTTGAGGAAAAAGGAAATTAATGGGACAGAAAATAGCCACAATAGCAGAAATAAGAAAAGGAAAAAGATAGAAAAAACTAAAAAAAAAATATGAAGAAAGAAAAAACTTGAAAAGAAAAATGGGGAAGAAAACAAACTAAAAGAAAAATAATGGAGAAAAACCTAAGTCTCTGAAAGCGTCATGAAGAAAAGATAATAAGTATTGTAATACAAAATATAAACTCATATAAAAGTTGAATCAAAGAAAAAATTCCTATTATTGTATGAGTGATTTCTCTGCAAGGCCCACATGGTTGAGAGCTGGCGAACCATTAATTTCTATGCCTAGCTTTAGGTACTTCCCTTGTTGCACCCCATACCCTTCTTCCATTTCCCCCAGATCGTGGTTATTGTCCATTCCAAAGTGTGTCCTTTTTCCCATTTGTAAATGGAAGATACAAAATCAGCTTTCTGGTCTCTGCTGGATGTAGGTCACAAGAAGAGGGTTGGAGTGGGTTCTGTAGTAATAGAACCTTCTTGTTCCTTTTCTTCATAGGCGTTGTCTTCATCCACTATCACTTCCATTCATTATTCCTCACTTCTATTGCCTCATACTTGGGGATGCAAAAGGTAGATCCAGCTTGGAATTGATGGATGAACTTGTTTTTGCATTGGAGAGCACTGCATTCATGGAATGAGCTTACTTCCTCACGTAGGGGTGCCACTTGAATAGTCTAGGCTTGTTTGCCAACATGGAGAAGAAGAAAGTACACAATAGACTTGGCACAGATCTCCTGGCTTCTATCTTAGAAGGGTGATGGTCACCTGCTTTGGTTCTACTTGATTGCATGGGGGAGGTGGGTAGCTCCTCTAACACATGTCTGCTTGTTCTCATGGGGGCCATATCTGACCACTTCATTGTTAATGACACAAGATAATGCAGCTATTGACTTGTTAAAATAAATTAATAACAAAAACTATGCCAACCTGGCAATAGCAACACAGTCAACAGTAATAATAGAGCCAAAGACAAAGTGGATATTGACATAGCAGAATAACCAATAAGGTGCCATGCTTGACCATAGGAAAGAAATCTATAATTATAGCATAAAAACAAAGACAGAGCCAGCCAGATAGCTCAGCAGATTAAAGCACCTGCTTAGGCAGACAGAGGAACCAGGATTCAATCCAAGTTTCTATGGCATTGTACTATCCTCAGGGCAGAAACACTATTAGATTCCATCCTTCCCCAGGGGCTAGTAGTCAGCCCCTTGATGGTGAAAGAAGCCACTTCATATCTCAAAGGAAAGAGGAGAGGCCCATCAGTTCCTGCACCTCTAGCACATTACTGTCAGCACTACTGGCCCCACTTAACTTTTGAAAACTGAAGAGATTCCCTCTGCAAACTTCAGCTCCAGATTCTTGGCAATTGGCACTACAGAGATTCCCAATAAAAGAAAGGAAAACAAAGTATGCAGATCATCATAAAACAAATAACAGGACAAGAGTAAACTCTAACTTACTGGTAACAACATTGAATATAAATGGAATTATTATCAAATCTAAATGTATAGATTGGCCCAAAGGGTAACAGAAACATAAAACACAATGACACAGTACCTCAAAGAAATCTATTACATTTTTACAAAATACATAGACTAAAAGTAAGGGGATAGAAAAAGATATTCCATGTTTATGTAAAGTAAAACTGAACCAGCAGTATAAACAAGATTTTATATATAAAAACCCATGAACAGAGACAGAAATAATAACATAGTAGTAAAAGAGCTCACACAAAAAAATGGGATAACCATAAATATTTAGACACAAAACACCAGATAACCATATTTATAAAGAGAAAATATTACATGTAAAGGGATTGATAGACATAATAAATTCCAGGATACAGTTAACATACTAAAATCAATAGCATTTACTTTAATTAACAATAAATAACCTGAAAATGTGTTTAAGGAAATAATGTAATTTAAAATAGCTACTAAAAAATCCCTAAGAATAAATTTAACCAAGGAGATGACAGATCTACACACTAAAATCCATAAAGCATTGATGAAAAAATTTTTAAAATGATACAAAAAATGCCTTGCCAAATAAAGGGTTAGTTATCATGTATTCAGAGATTGGAAGAGCGAGCACTAGGTCATTTAGGTATTTTAAAATACATACTATATATCATTACTATTATTATCACATACTATTTTAAATATTTTCACTTTGTTGTGTAAAAGAACACTACAGTTTAATATTTACTGGAAAATCTTTCCTTCCCTTGTAGCACTTTTTCCAGTTTCTGGTAAACATTATTTTACTCTCTACTCATATGATGTTCATTTTTTTAGTTTTCAACACAAATAGCTAAGATAATTGTAGAATTTCTATTTGTTCATTGAAAGGAATTTAGGTAATGCTTAAAAGCTTTGTGACCAATTTGACATGCTTCTATCTGATAATCTTTTTCTAAAAATTTTTATTTATTCTATTTGTGTGTGTGTGTGTGTGTGTGTGTGTGTGTGTGTGTGTGTGTGTGTGTGT